AATTTTAAACCGATATTCATCCAACCGTGTCAAATCTTTGTTCAAATGGAAAATAACAATAACAACCTGCAGAATAGCAACCAAAACGTGCTCGGCGACTTTTTAGTTATTCCTGCATACTCGATGATATTAAATATAGATTAGATTTTATCTACAATAGCCGTTGCATGTCTGATATCGTAACAATAACTTTTTTAAATGTGTTGTTGCAAAAGATCTTCAGTCTGGAGTACGTACCGTAACTGCAAACAATGGTACCCGCTAATACTCTTTTATATTGGCCTAAACTAAACTGGCTCATAATGAAGAATGTTCTACAACGGGCGAAATAACTGAATAACTTTATTCGTATATGTATGTCAGACTGACAAAAGAAAAGGTTAGAAGCGTTCCAAATGTGGTGTTACCGGCGAATGATGAGGATACCAAGGATAGAGAAGGTTAGAAATGAAGAGGTATTAGAAAGAATAGATGAACAGAGAAGTATGAACTGAATAAAATATAGACGAGATAGGTTGGTTGGACACCTCCTCAGGCATGAAGATCTAATAATAATTAGCTATTAAAAGTCTCAAACTTCCCAAGCGTCAAAAATCTTAACTAGAATTGTACAGAGGAGGATGGAAAAAAGGGCGGAAGAACTATTAGGGGAAGATCAATTTGGGTTTAAATAGAGGAATGCGGGAGGCCATTCTAGCTTTACTGGTAACAATAGAGAAAACGATAGAAAAAGGAAAGTGTGCGTTAATAGGATTTGTAGATTTAGAAAAAGCTTTTCACAAAGTTAAATGGGACAAGATGTTAAATACTTGTATGCAAGGGAAGAAAAAGTAGGGAAAGAGCGAATATAAAGATAGGAGACGTAAAATTAGAAGAAGTGGCTAATTTTAGATACCTTGGAACTCAGATAAGTCAGGATGGAACGAGTAGTAGGGATATAAAGCAGAGGATAGCGCAGGGTCGTGTCGCCTTTAATAAAAAGAAGTCACTTCTATGCTCGCGAACGGTTAATTTAGAAATTCAAAAAAGGTTGTTAAAGGTGTATGTTTGGAGTACGGCGTTGTACGGGTGCGAAACATGGACAGTGGGCACGGTGGAAAAGAAAAGGTTAGAAGCGTTTGAAATGTGGTGTTATAGGCGGATGATGAGGATAACGTGGGTAGAAAAGGTTAGAAATGAGGAGGTATTGGAAAGAATAGGAGAACAGAGGACTCCTTGGAAGTCAATAAAAAGTAGGCGAGATAGGTTGGTAGGACACCTTCTCAGGCATGAAGGTCTAGTAAGAGACGTATTAGAGGCAGAAACAGGAGTTAAGAGGGGTAGAGGGAGACCTAGATTAGATTACTGTTCGCAAATAGTTAAGGATGTGGGCTGTTCTAGTTTTAGGGAAATGCGAGGTTTAGCTTAGGATAGGAAAGAGTGGAGGTACGTGTCCAACCAGTCTTAGGACTGACGACCTTATGATGATGATGAACAGTTATTGGATCCTACTTGGAATGTATCAAATTTTTGACCCTAAAGAAGTGACTATTTCTGTAGATTTGGGAATGTAATTGTTAATTGTGATAATAATGTTTTAAAATAACCAACAGGGAATGTTTGAAGTGCAGTTATTACAATTCAATGAATTTTAAATGTAACGTATGCCGAGGAATAATTCGCCATCACGGAATCTTATGACAATGTGATAATGTTTACATTTCCTACCTAACCTAACCTAACCTACCCAATTATTATTTTTACTTATGATGATTCTAAATTGAGCGCAAAAGACAATGTATAAGTAGAAGTTTTTACAAAGAGGTTTCTGTACCTTAAGATACCTATTTAGCTACATTAAATTTTATACAGCGGTTTCATAACATTTATCTCTAGATCTACCATGCAACTCCGACGCTAAGTATTTAAGTATTTCTTAAGCAGTACCACAGGAACAATATGTTTGCACGGTAATAATAACGATGATAGCTTTCGGAGGTAATTTTAAATGCGTCCATCTTACCGTGTCGAAGGCGATAAATTATTCAATTGTACAATTACACTGGCTTCGTTTGCTCGTTGAACGTTGTAAAGTGTAATAAATGAGAGTTCCTCGTCCGACTTGACTCTGACCGCTAATGGCTTTTATGTTTCTAGCAGGTGTAATCGAGACAAAATGAAATGATTGGCTAACGTTGAAATTGAACGAAATTACAACAATAGTGATTCAATTGCGATAAATTTACACTAACACAACGTGTAGTTAAGGTGGTCCCCCACGATTAAAGTTGTATAGCGAAGTAATTGTAAGGAGAAAAACAGAAAATAAATTGGAAAAGGCAACCATGTGGATAAGATAGTCGCCCATTTATACTAAAGTAAAAAATACTTAAGACGTAAACGTTGATTGTGTTCAATTTTCACTTGAATTGTTAGTTATACTTATTTATATACAGTCAGAACCGTTTACGACGACATCGTTTAGAACAACATACCGGTTGTATTGACCAAAATCTTAGGTCTCGGATTAAAATTCTATTAGACCGCGGTATAAAAAACACTGCTTCTTACGACATTGCTTATTACGACATATCTCTTTAAGCGACTACATTTACTGATATTTTCGGAGAATTATATCTGTTAGAATGACCAGCTATATTATAAACATTTGAATAGACAACAGTATCCGCATCTGGCACAGTAAATGACCATTAAGATCGCAAAATTAAACAAAAACGTGTCCAGTTTAGGGTTTGTTGTATTTCTCAGAATATATGTAGGTACTACTGAAGCAGATGAGTATATTTATGTGGGTAACTCTATTGCAATTTATGTACCAGCTACAGAAGATGATGATATTATATGAAGTGCAAGGTGAAAATGACGAACAAGAAGAGACTGAAGAATAGTTTAGAGTGCCAACTTTGAATGATAGTCTCAATGCTGTCAGTGTATTACAAAAAATTGTTCTTTTAAATGAATAGTTTCACATGCAGGGAAATTATGACGATACATTAATTAAAATTCAACGTGAACTACAAAGATCGTACGCACGACAGATTAAAATTACATATATTATTAATATAGAAAAATGCTAATTATATATATNATACGTTTTATGTGAAATAAATAAAATGTAGTTTTATTTTATACATGAATGTATTAATCACACATTCAATAATAGGTATTAGGTACTTAACAACAACGTCACCGGCTGTTACGACTATCGGTTTTTATAACCAAATAAAGTAGTCCCTTCGATGTCGTTGTAACAGATTTTGACTGCATATATATATATATAAGAAAGATAAGAAAATTTAATTTAAGCATGCAGAAGAAGAAAAGTATACTTATGCCTCTTTTGACGAAAACATGGACGACAGAGGTCGTAATTATTTCAGGTGTTACACATTAGGCTGTAAAAACCTATCAATTCTTTATATAAGGTTAGTTGGGCAGAGGCAAACAAGTGACAAAAACCCGGGTGTCTAATACGATTGTAGTGCTGAGTTAAAACTGCAAATTTCAATTGAAATTCTAAAACTTGCGTTACAAATTATCACAAAACGCTCTAAATTTTCAGCATACTCAGATATCAGTTATCTGTCTAAATTTTTTCAATATTTTATACAGGTATGTTTCATGACAAAAAAATTGATAAGCCTATGAAATCCAAAAAATAAAAGCATTGTTTCTTAATGGTGTATTATATTCAAATTTACTTTTTATTATGAATTCTTTGACTTTTTTATTACACGAACACGATTAAACTGTTGTTCAATATAGCGTTGGAATTGTATGAAATCATTAAATGTAGTAATTGTATTCTTTCTTTACAAGATTCTATGTGAGCCAACAGTAGCAAAATGTCAATTCGGTTTATTTCCATTACATATGGAATTGTATATAATGACAATTTGTGAATGTATCTTATCTTCTATTACTACCTTTTGGAATAACCTTGCCATTAAAATGTCTAATTAAGGGATATAACTGCATTTTATGTTTTTGATATACAGAATGTCGCCGTTTACTCGGAATTTTTAATTAAAAATCAGGACCATAAAATATGATAGGGGCTGTGACTAATCGTCCCTGACAGGACCATCGATAATTTCCAAATTTAGACGGGTCATACTAGTAGAATTATATTTCCCTGAATATATATGTATCGTGAGTATAGACACTACTGAATTGTTTAATTCAATTTATTCCTGAATTAATAGATTACTATTATTAAATCTATTAATTTATAAAATTTAATATATTTAATATGAAATATTAATCTGAAAATTCATTTTTGATTTTTTTTTACCAACTACACGCTACCTCAAATTAATGAGGGAAAAATTGTTGCTGTTGTCACACCCCCGCCGGGAATTGAACCCGGGACCTTTGGTGACAACAGCAACAATTTTTCCCTCATTAATTTGTAATTGTATAAAATTCCTAGGAAATGTATATAACTCCTAAATAGCAATAACACCAGGCGATCGCACTAGAACCGCAAAAAGACAAATAACTTTGATTCTCAGTTTACTAACGTGTTTCGTTCATTTTATTTACAGAAAGTATTAGTTTTACACATTTCCTAGTATAATATCGAAATTTCATAGAATTCCTAGGATATGTATACATTTCCCAGGATATGTGTATATTAAAAATCTTTGAAACAATATTTTATAGATTTCCTAAATAGCCTCGGAATTGTATACATTTCCTAGGAATTGTATACAATTGCATATATTTCCTAGGAATTATATACAATTCCTAAACTTCATACATTTCCGGTAATATATATAGCACTTGAAAAATGACTCAATCTGGCAAGAATATATGTATATGTTGACAGAAAACCAATAAATTAGTTAATTAAATAGCAATATATAAAACCATTTGCCAGTGTCTGTATTTTTGTAATAATAAATCGGAATTGTTACTCGTTTATCTACTGATGTTTTTTACTTCGAGAAACATCAGTTACATTATCATTGTCATGTAACGGATTTGCTCTTGAACCTTATCATTGTACGAGTACCTACAGCATATTCTAATACCAGTGAATAGTTCGAACTTTACCTCTGTGAAATTGGGTACAGTTTAGTGCAAGTAACAAAACAGTTATTCTACTATTTAAGTTTAACGCCTCTTGACATAAATAGTGATTTTATGGATAATCTCTTTACTTTTGTGAACTGATTCTCTTAATTCATCTTTCTGCAATAGATCAATTCAAACAATTCCTACATTGATATATCATCTAAAATGAAGATTTTGTTATTTCTGTTTCTCGTAAACTGGAATTTCTTGATTCAAACACTTGTTGTATCAGCAACTTTCGAAACTGTTCCTCCGAACTGTACGCTTACTGGCAATTCATTGGCTAATTTAACTTCAATAACATCTAACTGCCAAGAAATACTTATAAGAAACTTTGAAGTTCCTTCAGGAAAAAACATACAGCTAAACGTGCAGGATGGTGCAACTGTATTTTTTGCAGATAAAGTGACCTTTGGATATGGAGAATGGGAGGGGTACCTTATTACAATAAGAGGTAATAACCTAAAAATCATCGGTGTTCCTGGAAATTTGTTTGACTGCAACGGATCTCGATGGTGGGATGGCCTTGGTGGCAATGGAGGAAAAGCAAAACCAAAATTTCTTAGATTGACTGGTGTCACTAATTCAATAGTAAATGGATTAAACATAAAGAATACTCCAAAACATTGTTTGGCTATTAAAAGCTGTAAAAATGTAACTATAAGTAATGTTACCATTGACGACAGGGAAGGGGATTTTAATGGTGGCCATAACACTGACGCTTTTGGTATTTCCGAATCAGATGAAATTACAATAACAAACTGTGTCGTCTATAATCAAGACGATTGTTTAGCTCTAACATCTGGAACTAATACCGTATTTAAACACAATTACTGTTCCGGTGGTCACGGTATATCAATTGGATCAATTGGAAACCACAGGGTAAATGAAGTGGACAACTTTTATGTCAAAAACTGTACCGTTGTCAATTCAGCAAATGGAATTCGAATTAAAACGAATTTCAACACTACTGGTGTAATAAAAAACGTTACTTATGAAGATGTAACTGTTGGGAATATAACGAATTATGGAGTTGTCATTCGTGGAGATTACTTGAACGGTGGAGCTACAGGTACTCCAACCCCTGGATTTAAAATATCTAACATTACTCTCAGAAATGTTCATGGTACAGTTCAACCGACTGCAGGAAACGTTCTAATTATTTTGTCAGAAGGAGTAGCATCTAATTGGACATTTGAAGACGTTAATATTGTTGGAGGACTCAAAAAAGTAAACTGTACTGGTATTCCTGAAGACTCTGGATTTTCCTGTAATAACCCTAGTGTTTTAACAATATAAATACTTGTTGTTCGTTTAGTTATATGGCAAGTCTAAATTTAGTTATATTTATAACTCAGTAAGTAAACTATTTCTATCATTTAACAATAAACAGAAAAAAATAAGAACTAAAGAAATAAAAGAAATAAAAGTCGTATTACATGAAATTTATTTATAAACGTTTTCTCTTTATTACACCCTATATCAAGAATTATTATTTTAACAAGGAGTGGCATTAAAGCTGATGTGACGGTATGCATGTTACAAAATTACGGCCGAGCCTTGCATTTTGGGTAGGACAAGATTTTATTTTTTGAGGGAGTCAATGACAGTATAAAACTATTCGAACCAGAATATCTTAAGAACTATAAGTCTCACAATATTGTTTTTCAAACATATTACATAAATAATCCAATTCTCTGAAGTTTTGGTCCAGAAAGTTTTTATCGTATAATTGAAACTAAAAGTTATAAATCTGAATTTTTCAAAAAAATATTATTTAAGGGTTGTAACTGTTTTTCTACCTTAAATGATATTTCTATAATATTCTTGAAATTTTTTATTTTCACGTTTACGGCAAATGTACGGGGAAAACTTTGCAGTACTGTTTTCAAGATGGCGGTAGTACAGTGGGAGTTTTCAATCTCAAAATCTAGTTTTATATTCACGTTGACCTCTACATGCTCATAAAATATTGTTCTACCTAAAATGCAAGGTCAACGTAACATTTGAATGTGTTTTTTTTATATTATGAATAGAATTGTTGAGTTGAAAAATATTTACATTTGTCATACTTTTATCACATTGTATTATGTGCTAATAATGAATAAATATGATACTTATGGATGACATGGAGTACCTACTTCTGGAAATCCTTTTAAAAATTATCGCAGTTTACGTGATTTAAAGAGGAGGTAAATAAAACTTCTTCTAAGTAAAGAACATTCATCGCATGAAAGTGTTTTGAACACGTGAAGAAGTGCGTCCTTTATTGTGAAATATATTTATTTATCCATTCTCTAAACATTGAGTATCAGTATGATAATGGCAACGTTAATCAGAAACGAATACTAAATACCTGAGCTAAGGATATGTTTTAAAAAATTTATGTTTTGATCGCCTTAAAATTTCATATGTAATAAATGCATTACATGGATGCTGAAGTAAGTACACATTCATTGCAAACGTTGTAAAATGAACTCTATTTGTTGATTCAATTTTATTCTTTTAACTTTATGGTTTAATTTTTTCTTGGAGCGTCAGATTCTATTAATGTGTTATGGACAATTTTTAACCGTTCAGCTCTTTTATGTTGGTTACACCCGACTAATTGCAAGTAGTGCTGGCCGACAGATCGCTTCGTTTAGATCAGGTTTCCACTTCAAAATGAGCAACTGTTCCTACTTTTTGTACACTGTGGTTTCTTGGTACAAGTATTTCTTGCATCAGAAGTTTATGAAGATGATTCCTCTTAATGCCCTCTAACTGGCAACTCTATGGAAAGCATCGCTTCAATCATTGCTTGTAATTATCAAGAAATACTGTCCGATAAATATTAAAGTTTGAATGTGAAGAATGGCATAAGTATAATATTTTCAGAAAAAATAGCTTACGAAACGTGATAAACATTTCTAAAAAAAAAAAGAAAACTTTTGGGTGTTTCATTCCCACCAGCCAGTAATGCTGGTGGGCGGGCAGTCCCTCCGGACTATGCCGGAAGGTAGGGCGGAAGGCCCTCTTCAGCCTGCTTTCAGGAATCGTGGGAATGGGTGGGTGGTGGTTCGGGTGAGAAAGATGAGA